CACATCCTGTATGCTAGGGTCCTGCAACACCAGTATAGCCTCATAAGGCCTCTCCTTGTGGATCTTCTCCAGGAGCCATTGGAAATTTCTTTCTAAATTATCTGATTCTTCTATTGCGGAAAAATTCCATTCTCTGGCCGAAAATCCGCTAGCCGCCCATACTAAAACCAGAATAAACACGTCCGAAAATTGCATTACAACTGATGAGCAGGTTATGCATTTCGGTGGACATTACCTAACAGACGCATCCGCATGTTCGCAGTGATGATACAATCTTGTTAAATGCCTAGTGACATGACATGCGATATTTTTGGCTAAGGGAAGTCCAAAAATAAAACCATAAACAAACAAAAAGCAGTAAGGTGGGTCGAAAAACAACATTTTAAAAAATCAATGCCAAAATGTAGGCCTTAAAAAGCACCCCTTGTTCCTCTTACCCACTCCACCATCAAGAAATCCATGGTACGATCAGGAGTGTCGTAATGGTACTGATGTGAAAAACGCAGCGTGTAAGGCAACCCTGGAAAACTATCAGGAGAAAAGGAGAGAGGAGAAACGAATTTTCAGAAAAAAGAAGAATGAACAAGAAAAACGTGAGCGTGAGCGAATCGAGATGTACAGGAGTCAGAATGAAGTCCGGAAATTTTACCAACGGGTAAAACACCTTTGGCTTTGGCGTGCCTGCACGCAGAGAGATGAAGAAGGAAACCTGGTGACAGATACAGACAGCGTGCTGAGGATCTGGAAGGAGCATTTTGAAAAACTTCTAGTATCAAATTGTAGTGGTGAAGAGGATACCCCAGAACCAATAATAGATGACGGTATAGAGTGCACACCTAGCCAAGTTGAGGTTAGAATAACAATCAATCGACTGAAGAATAATAAAGCAGCAGGTGCCGATGGAATACGAGCCGAACTATATACAAGACTGGTGGTCAGATGCTGGTCAGGAGTATGCACCAGCTGATTAGTACAATTTGGCTAGAGGAATGCATTCCGCAATGATTGGAACCTCAGCATCCTGTGTCCCGTGCACAAAAAAGGAGACAAGACGATATGTGCAAACTATAGAGGAATAAGTCTCCTTCCCATCGTATATAAAGTGTTACCCAGCGTACTGTGTCAACGACTGAAGCCAATGGTCAATGGCATTATTGGACCATACCAATGCGGCTTCTGACCTGGCGAATCCACCATTAACCAGATTTGCATTCGGCTCCAAATCCTGGAAAAAACCCGCGAAAAGCACACCGACACATTCCACAGCGGCTTCAGACCTAGCAAATCCACCACTGACCACATTTTTACTCTGCGCCAAATCCTGGAAAAGACCCACGAAAAACACATCGATACATACCACTTATTCGACTATAAAGCCTCATTCGACAGCCCTATCCGTTCAGAGATGTGTAAAGCCATGTCTGCGTTCGGCATTCCTGCAAAATTAATACGGCTATGCAGGATAACTTTAAGTGACACAAGGTCAGCAGTTAAAGTCGGAAAAGGACCTCTCGGAGCCCTTCAATACCGAACGAGGATTCAGACAAGGTGACAGTTTGTCGTGTGACTTTTTTAACATCTTGCTGGAAAAGGTCATACGAGAGGCAAAGGTGAACAGAACACATGTTACTCGCCGACGCCGATGACATCGACATAATTGGTCGAACATTACGAGCGGTAACAGATTGAGAAGGAGTCTGCCAAAGTGGTTCTGGCAGTAAACGGCGAGAAAACCAAAATGATGGTATCAACGCGCAAGACGTCCAGTATACTCGGACCAACTATGGAACTTGAGAACTACAGCTTCGAGGTAGTCAAAGATTTTCTATGCCTTGGTACCGCCACAAAAAAAAAAAAAAACGAATGACATCAGTTTTGAAATTCGGGCTATGGTCTGAGCAAACAACTCAAAAGCAAGGCCACCTCCCGCCAGATCATACTCTACAAGACGCTGATACTGCCCGTGCTGTTATATGGATCTGAAGCATGGGTTCTTGCGCAGGAAGATGAAGCAGCTCTTGGGGTGTTTGAAAGAAAATTTCTTCGAAAGGTGGGACGATCTGCGTTGAATGAACCATGAGTTATACCAGCTATTCTCGGACATCGACATTATTAGACGTATTGAGCTGCAGCGACTACCTTGGCTAGGTCATGTTGTGTGAATGGATGAAGATGCCCTAGGCCGGAGGCCATATAAAAGCGAACCAGCTGATGGTTCGCGCAAAAGGGGAAGGCCACGAACAAGATGGAAAGTCTAAGTGGAGACACCATTGCCGAATATGGTCTTTAAAATTGGAAAAACTGCGCAAAAGACTGAAGCGCCTGGAATTTTTTTCAGCTCGTTTATGGAACGAAAGATCTGTCATAAGCCAGCTAAGTAAGTACTTTTTGGAGGCCTTAGCAAAGGCGAGGATTTTTTTAAAATAAATTTTTGGAGGCCTTAACAAAGGTGTGGATTTTTTTAAATTAATTTTTGGAGGTATTTAAAAAAAATATTTTTTCGTGCGAATTTAATTTTTGTGGAATGTAGAGTGGGTGCCACCAACCCCTTTTATTTCATAGCCTCTGCAGACTAAGCTGTTATATTTTTCCACCCTGTCACTGCGTCCAACATATTCGTGACAATAAACACTTCGTAATTAATACTTTACGTTATAGGCGTTAATTTTTTGTAAAAACAAGTGTCACATTGTAATAATTGTGTTACTATGTATGTGAATGCCAGGGTTACCATATCAGATTATAATTAAAAAAAAATATTTTTAAAAAATCCACGTCTTGTTGTATAGAGAGGCTAGAGATACATGGATCGAATTGAATTATCATGTTCTCAAGCTTAAAAGTGAATTGGTGGCGACTGCAGAGAAAGCCCAGGCAGCAGAAAAATCATCAGAAGAAAAGAAATATTTTGAGAGAACTCGATCTTTCGGAGAAGAACCGTCGATCAACAGAGGCCGAGCGAGATAATTTTGCCAGACAAGTGGTCACCAATGCCGCAGATATTATGGCAGCTAACCACACCGCGAAATCTGTGAAATGCATATAAAGAAGCAGTCTGAAGAATTGGCAATTTCAAAGAAGGCCCGAGGAACAGCAGAGGCCGAACGTGACCAGTTGGCCAGACGAATGGTCGCCAATGCCAGTAAGGAGCAGCAAATGGTAAGTAATATCCCATTTGCTAAAATTTCTACTTCACAAAAATTAGCTCCAGTCCAGTTAGCCATGGGAGAGAACGATGCGTTGGCTGATGCGGAGAAACCGGTTATGGAACACTGTCCGGTGGGGATGTTAAAGCCGGCGAACAAGGAGCGGGTACATAATGGAAGACTTGCTGGGAATTGTGCGTCGCCAGTGGGTACTTGTTTTGCCGGTAGAACGATGAAGCCGGCGGAAAATAGCGCTGAACTCACAACAAAATATGGTAGTGGTGGTAAACAGAAGCCGCTAGTTACGGATGTTCTGGCCAGGAAGGTTGTGGATATAAATCATGAAACTGCGGTCGAGAAGATGAAGTCCGTGGACAACGGCGAATTTCAGAATAAGAAGGAAATGGTGGCTATGACGAAGCTTGCCGATGATACCGACAATAAGACGAACGACGACTATATTGTTGCGATGAAGGGGTTTGTGGATGTGCCGCCCTGGAAGATGAAGAAGATGGCCAAGCGTAGCGTGCGGTTAATGAAGGATGTGGCCGGTGTGAAACTGAAGAAGAGGATTGCCGATTGTCCAGCATTAAAGGTGGAGCGAAAGGTCGAAAATGCGGAGAAGCTGATGAAGACTATTGTCAACGGTTTAGGCTGGAAGAAGAAGCCGTCAGATGAGGTTCAGCCGAAGAGGGACGTATTTGGTGCCAAAACAGAAGCCGCTAGTTACGGATGTTCTGGCCAAGAAGGTTGTGGATATAAATCCTGAAACAGCGGCCGAGAAGATGAAGTCCGTGGATAACGGCGAATTTCAGAATAAGAAGGAAATGGTGGCTATGACGAAGCTTGTCGATGATACCGACAATAAGACGAACGACGTATGTACTGATGCGATGAAGGGATTTATGGATGTGCCTCCCTGGAAGATGAAACTGAAGAAGAGGATTGCCGATTGTCCAGCATTAAAGGTGGAGCAAAAGGCCAAAAATGTAAAGAAGCTGAGGAAGAATATTGCCAACGGTTTAGGCTGGAAGAAGAAACCGGCAGACAAAGATGAGGTTCAGCCGAAGGGGGACATATTTGGTGCCAATAACGATGGTAAAGCAGAAGTGGAAAATATTCCCACCAAAATGAAGTCTGTGGTCAGAAGCGGGAACAAGCTGAAGAATGAAGCCGCGGCTATGATGAGGTTTGGAAATGGCACAGCCTGGAGAATGATACTGCCGACCAAAGATGCGGACAAGCCACTTGGAAGCCGTATGACCGAGAAGCTGAGGATGACTATGGCCAAGGGTTCAGGCTGGAAGAAGAAAAAGCTGGGAGACAAAGGTGGAGATGCCGATAAGAGGATCTGGTTGGAAAGATGGCGGTGGGACCTAGAGGCGAACATGGTTTTCAAATAATAAAGATAGTGAATGTTTTGCTGTGGGTCTAGTGTGTAAATGCACAAATGCAAATAATAAGACGTGCTATCACTCCGCGGACAATGTCCGCGTCAACTAGATATCAGATCCCTCGTTTACCAACCCTTGAAAAAGAATCCTCGCCTTGTATAGACCCTTGAACCAGTATTTTTAAAAAATCCATTTTATTTTTCTTCATTTTTGGTCCCACTGTGCTTTGCCTAATTATTTTCTTTTATTGTCCATGGGCGTTCCCAATATTTATGGTAGGTTTCATATCATTTTAACCAATAATTGTTCCGCCACATAATACCTTTAAATGTTATATAAATTACATGGTTTCCCCCCTCACACTCCTGCCCCCTTCGGTTTCAAAAAAATTAATTATCCTTTAATCGGGGGAAAGATATCCAGCAAGACATCAATGAAGAAATCTCTCGGTTCAGTTACAATGAAACATCTCTTCGAAATTGTCCTCTTGGCGGAATTATTTATTCAGGGTCTGATGTACGAAGCTTGGCCGAATTTTGAAACCAAAAGTCCTGAAAAAAATTCAAGCTTGGAATTGTTGTTGCAAAATATCTACAAGGAGAGAGAATTTGAGACCCTATTGCTGATTGCCGAGCCGGAGAGCTATAAAGATCTTTTGATATGGGGAACACTGGAAAGGTTAATGGTCCCAAAGGTCTTGGTTACAAATGACCCGGGTTATGAATTTGTGAGGACCTTCAATGCCGAAATTTTAACAATATTCCTATTCCAAAAACATGTGAATCCAAATCTGATGGCCATGGGTGCGGAGATTTTAAATTTTATGAGACAATCAAGGATTTTGATATTAATCGAGGAGGTGGAGAATGAGGTGGAGAATTTGGATCCTGGGGTACTGTGGCATTTATTGCAACATTGTGAGTCTTATAAAATGACAAATGTGCTGGTGAGAGGCCTCCATGACCCTAGAGCTGGAAATATCCTGCAATTGAAACCCTATCCCGTTTACAACTGGTCCAGGTGGCAATCGGATTCGCCTTACTACCCTCAACATTGGCACAATATGGAAAATAAATCTGTCACCTATTTCACCGATACCACCATGACCCTATCCTACCCTTTTGAGGATGGTCGGGGAGGTGTAAAACTCAATGGTTATATTGCCAGATTGGTGTTACTCTTCGGAGAGATTTTCAATGCCCACATGCATATGTATGCCTCCCATGAGGTGGCAGCCCGAACTCATCTCACCCAGGTCAATCAAATGGTTGAGGATAATCGCATTGATATACCAATGACTTTGAGCCACTACAATGATGGCAAGTGGTTGTATAAATCCGCAGTCTATGATTCGCTGGCAGGTCTGCTAATGATACCCAGTGCCCTGCCGCTGAGCACCAGGGAGGTATATGGAGTGCTATTGAATAGATATTTCTTTGGGTCCATCATCATTGGGACCCTTATATTTTCGGGCTTTCAATTCTTGGTGGATTATTTTTTGGATCGGAATCTACACATCCTGGATTTGGTGCTGAATTATCGTTTCTTCTCCGGTGTCTTGGGTCAATCATTCGCACCACGAGAATCGTGTTGGCGTAGCCTGAAAATGGTATATTTTTTGGTTTTTGTGGCCGGGCTGAATATCAGTACCCAATTTTCGGCCACCATAAATACCCTGATCACCAGTCCCCCCAATCATCCGCAGATTCAATCCTTTGAGGATTTGAAAAATTCGAGATTAAAAATTCTAGCCATTACCAGTGACATAGAGGCCATTGAAGATGCCGGTGATATTATCAAGGACTCCCTACTGCTAACCGACAGTGTGGAGTATTATGAGGAGAATCGTAATAGTTACAATACATCGACGGGTTACTTCCTGGTCTCCCTCTCCTGGAAGGTCCTCAAACGTAAGCAGCAGTATTATTCGCACAACATTTTCAATGTCTATGAGAAAATGACGTTGTTTAGTATGCCCTGTGCCCTGCAGCTGCAAAAACATTCGCCGTACAAGGAACCTCTGGACTACCTCATCAATCGGGTACATGCTGTGGGTCTGCCGGAATATTGGTATGCCAGCACCTTTGGCGATATGTTAAGGACCAAGAGGATTAGCATTAATGCGAATACTACCAGCAAGGAATTTCAACCGCTGGAGGTCAGGGATCTTTTTTGGCCCTGGATAAGTATTGCTGCAGGATTAGCGGCAGGTGGTGTGATATTTTTGGCGGAAATTTTAATATATCGTACTCTAAGGAAATTGCAAAAAAATAAATAAAATAATATTTTGGAGGCCTGGATTTTTTTTAAATTAATTTTTGGAGACCTCAACAGAGGTGTGGATTTTTAAAAAAGGCTTGGATTTTTTATATAATTTTTCAAGGCTCTTTATTTAAATTTTAGTTCCAGATTTTTATAATTTGTTTATACAAAATATTCTCTAAATATTATTTTTAAATATTTGTCTTCGTCCACACCAAATTTCCAGGAGAAATATTATGCAGCTGCCGGCTAATCCCGCAACTAATATTATCCATGTCCAAAATAAATCGCCAGCCTTCAGCTGCTTGGGTCCCTGATCCATATTGGGATCCCTTATGGATACCTCTTTCAATTTCAGTAGATCCAAAAATGTGCTATACGCCCAATAATCCATCAGGCCATAGGCATGGACCAGATGCAGCAGATAATTCAATCCCTCTCTATAGGGCGAATTCTGCTGCAGGGGGATACCCCATGGCAGATAGGGGTAGAGAATTAAATCATCATAGGTACAAAAACGTTTCTCCGCCAAATATTTTTGCCTCAGCGTGTCCTTTTGCCACCCAGTTGAGGAACTATAATAGCTATAGGAGGTATTGTAATTATTCCGCAGTCCATCAAGGTAGCTGATGTTATGGGTCGTGATTACGGCCTGTACATAGTCCTCTATGCGATACCGCATGGCAAAGGCTTCGGCATCATGGAGGAGTATTTTCATTGAGGCATCCAAAATATCTTGAGGACTCTTTATTTGTCGATGTTTCGGCGGACTGGTCAGCAGGGTACTCACATTCACCGAAAATAGGGTATTCAAAAATAGGCCCACAATAAAGAGCATGATGTAGATGAATTTCAGAATTCTCCTTGGCGATTCGTGGGGTGGGGTAAATGATTGACCCAACACGGCGGGAAAGATGCGATCACTCAGCAGCAGCCTTGAGGGTTCCCAGAGGTTATCAAAAATGTAATCGATCAGGGAGTGAAGCAACGAAAATATCACCGTACAGATAATGACGGAACCAAGGAAGGTGGCATTCAGCAAAATGGTGTAGACTTCTTGAATACTCAATGGCTGGGCACAGGGTACTATCAACTGACCCCGATCATGATGATAGGCATCGGTCATATTAAACCATCGATCGTAATGGGGATTTGTGTGCATTGTCATGGGTATATCGAGGAGATTTGTCTCGACCATTTCCGCCAGAATGGTTGTATAATGTTTGGGATTATTCACATCGAGGGGGAAGGCCATTCTCAGGGTGGCATTAAAATGTTCCGCGAATAGCATTACAAATTTCGGTACAAATCCATTGATTTTCAAATTACCCTGATCATCGTGGTAGTAGACGGAACGCAGGGGACTTCTATCCACATAGGTCAGCAGGGTTTTATTGTGGAAATTACGCCAGTGTTGGGGAAAATATGGTAGATTGCCATCCTCCATATCTTGGAGCTTAAGGGAGGTCCAATAATAATTCGGATAGGGTTGGAGGAAATACACCACCTCTCTATCAGGGTTTCCTACCCTCTGAGGTCCACCAAAACTCAGCAGTACATTGGTCATATTGTACCACTTGCAGGATAGCAAAAGTCGTTGTCTGAAGGCCTTTCTCTGCTCTGCGAACACATCGACAGCAATGACCAGAATTCTAGACTCCCTTAGGAAATTTAAAATATTTGCCATTATTTCCATCGGCATCTCCTTCATCCTCTGGGAAATTAGCAGAACCGCCAGCAGTTCTTTATTGTATTCCATGCGATAAAGGAAATCTCCTTGAGATTCGGATATCAGTAATGTTGGCCATCTTAGTTCGTAGATCTCTTGTATTATGGGCACTTGGGCCGGTGTTCGTTTCTCTTCATGGACCACAAGCAAAGAATTGATTTCTCGTTCTTTGTGAATATTCCTCAGAAGCCTGGGATAGACATTTTCTGACTCCTGCTCCATGCTGATTTTCAGATTTTTTCCAGCAGACCCCAAGGTTGGCAATAGTAGCAGGATGTATAGGAAAATTTCCATTATTCGATTTTTTCTTTTGTCCTAATAAATGTCCTTGTCTTTCGAGTAGTCCAGGCCAAAACGAACTGTTGAATGTGAAATTGGAAAATTCCATTTGTATTCCTGTTTGTCCTGTCAGGACAGCTTTTTAATCAATTAATTAATAACAAAATTATACATGTAGTAGGTCGGAACTTTGTGAGTGGATAATTACAGGTCTGCAACAGTCTGTGTTGAAAGGTATTTCATTAAAAATAATATTATTAGGTACTGCAAGGAACACTTTAATTTAGAGGACCTCCACAAATTTTTAAAACAAATCCTGACCTCCACAAAATTGTTTATTTATTTAAAAATCCCTATCTTTGTTGGGGCCTCCAAAAATTTAAATTTTAAAAAATCCACACCTTGGTAAAGACACCCAAAAATTAATTTTAAACCAGTAAGGAATGTAGTAAAGTCGGGCGGGGAGGACTTTGGCGCAGCATTTACATAAAATCGGTGGAAAATACATATGGGAGCTATATATAAATCTGGACCGATTTTCACGAAACTTGGCAGACATCACTATAGGCTCAATTCAGTACGCTATGCAAAATTTCGTGCAAATCGAAAGATATATAGGGACTTTGGTGCAAAATCGGACGAAAATATATATGGGAGCTATATCTAAATCTGAACCGATTTTCACGAAACTTGGCAGAGATCATTCTAGGGTCAATTCAGTATGTTATGCCGAATTTCGTGAAAATCGAAAGATATATAGGGACTTTACCGCACATTTTACATTAAATCGGACGAAAATATATATGGGAGCTATATTTAGATCTGAACCGATTTTCACAAAACTTGGCAGACATCATTCTAGGCTAAATTTTGTACATTATGCCAAATTTCGTGAAAATCGAAAGATATATAGGGACTTTGGCCCACCATTTACATCAAATCGGACAAAACTATATATGGGAGCTATATCCATATCTGGGCCGATTTTCACGAAACTTGGCAGACATCACTCTAGGCTCAATTCAGTACGCTATGCAAAATTTCGTGCAAATCGAAAGATATATAGGGACTTTACCGCACATTTTACATTAAATCGGACGAAAATATATATGGGAGCTATATTTAGATCTGAACCGATTTTCACAAAACTTGGCAGACATCATTCTAGGCTGAATTTTGTACATTATGCCAAATTTCGTGAAAATCGAAAGATATATAGGGACTTTGGCCCACCATTTACATCAAATCGGACAAAACTATATATGGGAGCTATATCCATATCTGGGCCGATTTTCACGAAACTTGGCAGACATCAGTCTAGGCTCAATTCAGTACATTACACCAAATTTCGTGAAAATTGAAAGATATATAGGGACTTTGGCGCTCTATTTACCTCAAATCGGACGAAAATATATGTGGGAGCTATATCTAAATCTGGACCGATTTTCACGAAACTTGGCAGACATCACTCTAGGCTCAAGTCAGTACGTTGTGCCGAATCTCTTGCAAATCGAAAGGTATATAGAGACTTTGGCGCACCATTTACCTTAAATCGGTCGAAAATATATATAGGAGCTATATCTAGATCTGAACCGATTTTCACAAAACTTGGCAGACATAACTCTAGGCCCAATTCAGTACGTTACGCCAAATTTCGTGAAAATCGGAAGACATATGGGGACTTGGGTGCACCATTTACCTTAAATCGGACGAAAATATATATGGGAGCTATATCTAAATCTGGACCGATTTTCATGAAACTTGGCAGACATAACTCAAGGCCCAATTCAGTACTTTACGCCAAATTTCGTGGAAATCCAAAAATATATAGGGACTTTGGTGCACCATTTACATAAAATCGGTCGAAAATATATATGGGAGCTATATCTAAATCTGAACCGATTTTCACGAAACTTGGCAGACAAAACTCTAGGCCCAATTCAGTACATTACACCAAATTTCGTGAAAATCGAAAGATATATAGGGACTTTGGCGCACCATTTACATCAAATCGGACAAAACTATATATGGGAGCTATATCCATATCTGGGCCGATTTTCACGAAACTTGGCAGACATCACTCTAGGCTCAAGTCAGTACGTTGTGCCGAATCTCTTGCAAATCGAAAGGTATATAGAGACTTTGGCGCACCATTTACCTTAAATCGGTCGAAAATATATATGGGAGCTATATCTAAATCTGGACCGATTTTCATGAAACTTGGCAGACATAACTCAAGGCCCAATTCAGTACTTTACGCCAAATTTCGTGAAAATCGAAAGATATGTAGGGTCTTTGGCGCTCCATTTACATAAAATCGGACGAATATATATATGGGAGCTATATCTAAATCTGGGCCGATTTTCACGAAACTTGGCAGACATCATTATAGGCTCAATTCAGTACTTTATGCCGAATTTGGTGAAAATCGAAAGATATATGGGGACTTGGGTGCACCATTTACCTTAAATCGGACGAAAATATATATGGGAGCTAAATCTAAATCTGGACCGATTTTCACGAAACTTGACAGACATCACTCTAGGCTCAATTCAGTACGTTATGCCGAATTTCGTGAAAATCGAAAGATATATAGGGACTTTGGCGCACCATTTACATCAAATCGGACGAAAATATATATGGGAGCTAGATCTAAATCTGGACCGATTTTCACGAAACTTGACAGACATCAGTTTAGGCTCAATTCAGTACGTTATGCCGAATTTCGTGAAAATCGAAAGATATATAGGGACTTTGGCGCACCATTTACATCAAATCGGACGAAAATATATATGGGAGCTATATCTAGATCTGAACCGATTTTCACGAAACTTGGCAGACATAACTCTAGGCCCAATTCAGTACGTTATGCCAAATTTCGTGAAAATCGAAAGATATATAGGCACCATTCGAACGAAAATATATATGGGGTTCGTCCAATAGGGTTCGTCCTTGGGCCAAATAAATGATCCACGGCCTCTATTAAGGCCTCCAGAAATATATCTAAAATAATTTAATATTTTTTTCAATTCATTTTTTTTATATTTTATTCCGAATGTGGATCCACTTTGGACTTTATTAATTTATTCCTATGATTCCAAATTATTTCCATTAAAAATACCGCCATTGCCGTGGTTAAACCCACAACAATTATTATCCAAATCCAAAACATATCGGCCATGGTCAGTGCCTTAGGTGTCATATCTTCCTGAGGTTCCGAAATTGTCAACTCCTTGTGTCTGAGCATATCGAAAAATGTGCTATAATGCCATGCCTCCAATAGACCAAAGGCCTTAACCAATTCAATGAGATAGTTAAGGCCCTCCTTGTAGGGTGAATTATGCGGCAGAGGTATGGCCCAACGAAGATTCGGAAATAGTGTTAAATTTTCATAGGTACAGAAAATTTTATCCTGATAGAATGATTGTACCGAGGACATCATCAGCCAGGCTGAGTAGGAGAAATAATAGCCAAAGGAGCTGTTGAAGCTATTGCGCATACCGAGTACATAGGTGTAGTTGTTGGTGGTAGTAAAGACGGAACGGTAGGGCCTAATGTGTTCCTGCATCACCCGAGCCTCAACATCGTAGAGGAGAATCTGCAATGGGGATTTCACGAGATCCTGCATTGTTTCTATTTGCCGATGTTTGGGTGGATGGGTAAAGAGGGTACTGACACTCACCGCAAAGAGGGTGTTCAAATATAGGCCGGCTATGAAGAGCAGCAGGTAGATTATTTTCGAACTGACATTCGAGAAGTGTGTAATGCTGAAGGGTTGTCCTAGCACTCCTGGAAAGATGAGTTCACTGAACAGCAATCTGGAGAAGTGCAACTGACGATTGAAGACATAATCGATAAGAGATCGGGCTAAGGATAGCGCCATGGTGCAGATAATAATATAACCCAGAAATGCTCCATTCAGTAGTTTCCCGTAGACCTCACGTTTACTCAGTGCCTTGGCACAGGGTACCACCAACAGACCCTTGTCATGATGCAGGCTATTTGTCATATTATACCATTTATTTATGGTCGGACTGGTGTCCATAACCATGGGTATGTCGAGACGATTGAGGTTCACCATATTTTCGATGATAACTGAATAATGGCTGGGATCTTCGAAATTCAAGGGGAAGGCCATTTGTAGATTTGCATTAAAACGTTCGGCGAAGAGCATCACAAAACGGGCCACAAATCCATTTAAGCGTAATTTACCCTGTCGATCTTTGTAGTACAGGGTCCGAGGAGGTGTCCGGTCCATATAGGTCAGCAAGGTTTTATTGTGCATATTACGCCAGTGCTGCTCAAAATAGGGCGCATCAGGGTGGGATCTTCGATGCCAATGGTAGGAAGGATAGGGTTGCAATAAAAGTTCTTTATGTGATCTAAGTTTCGTGGAGGTCATTATCAGCAGGACATTGGTAAAATAAAATTTTTCACAGTTTTGTGAAAATAAATTTTTAAAATTATTCTCCTCCTCCTGCCCTTCAGGAATGTCCACAGCAATGGTGATTATCCTCGTTTGCCTTATATAGTCCAGGGTCTGGGCCATTATTTCCACCAGCTTCATATCTAGAGACCCTGAGAGGATTAATACTGCCACAATTTCACGATTAAATTTCGTTGTGACCACAAATTTTCCTTGATCCTTTGTCGTGGCTAAAATTGGCATATTCACTTGATAGAGGTCCTTGAGAATGGTCTGCGGAATATTGGGATCTCCTTGATGTATTACTACAATGGAATCGAAATTCCGTTGAAGGTAAATTTTTCTCAGGAGGTCCTTAAAAAATGAGGATTTTTGAATATTATCCTGGGTCCTCAAAAATGTATCAGCTTCGAAAGCCTTGCAGGACCTCAATGCCAGCAGGAGGGCAAGAAAAAAATTAATTTTCATTTTTTCTATTGGGAATTTTTTTTTTCAATTTATTCCACGAAGTAAAGCGACTGACAGGTTCCCGTTTAGATTAAGGACTAACTCAAAATCCTTTGAAAAATGTTCTCAAAAGGACCTCAAAGTCCTTAATCCTTTGACCAAAAATATTTTATCAATAAGGATATTAATGAGGCATTTAAATTGTTAACCCATTATGTGGCATAATTAAATACAACAATGGGTCATACACTGAAAGAAATTCAGGATGAATTGGAGGCTTTGTAATTTCACTGAAATTAAAAAAAATTAAAAATTTCGGAACCCAGTCTACGAAGTCATCGAATAATATATTTTTTTCCTCAAAAAATTTAACAATTTTTAATATTTTTTTTCAGTGTATTTTCCTAAATTACACGAACTATTTCCCCTTATCATAAATAAGATCAATACAATCATGCTAAATCATGACATAATTACACAGCAAACTGATAAACTATCTCCCCAATTAAACAACCTTAACGAAAATTCGTTGTCATGGGGTAAAATAAATACCACCCCATAAATGATAGAGCCTTGAAAAAATTATTTAAAAAATCCACGCCTTGTATAGAGCCTTGAAAAAATTATTTAAAAAATCCACGCCTTGTATAGAGCCTTGAAAAAATTATTTAAAAAATCCACGCCTTGTATAGAGCCTTGAAAAAATTATTTAAAAAATCCACGCCTTGTATAGAGCCTTGAAAAAATTATTTAAAAAATCCACGCCTTGTATAGAGCCTTGAAAAAATTATTTAAAAAATCCACGCCTTGTATAGAGCCTTGAAAAAATTATTTAAAAAATCCACGCCTTGTATAGAGCCTTGAAAAAATTATTTAAAAAATCCACGCCTTGTATAGAGCCTTGAAAAAATTATTTAAAAAATCCACGCCTTGTATAGAGCCTTGAAAAAATTATTTAAAAAATCCACGCCTTGTATAGAGCCTTGAAAAAATTATTTAAAAAATCCACGCCTTGTATAGAGCCTTGAAAAAATTATTTAAAAAATCCACGCCTTGTATAGAGCCTTGAAAAAATTATTTAAAAAATCCACGCCTTGTATAGAGCCTTGAAAAAATTATTTAAAAAATCCACGCCTTGTATAGAGCCTTGAAAAAATTATTTAAAAAATCCACGCCTTGTATAGAGCCTTGAAAAAATTATTTAAAAAATCCACGCCTTGTATAGAGCCTTGAAAAAATTATTTAAAAAATCCACGCCTTGTATAGAGCCTTGAAAAAATTATTTAAAAAATCCACGCCTTGTATAGAGCCTTGAAAAAATTATATAAAAAATCCACGCCTTGTATAGAGCCTTGAAAAAATTATTTAAAAAATCCACGCCTTGTATAGAGCCTTGAAAAAATTATTTAAAAAATCCACGCCTTGTATAGAGCCTTGAAAAAATTATTTAAAAAATCCACGCCTTGTATAGAGCCTTGAAAAAATTATTTAAAAAATCCACGCCTTGTATAGAGCCTTGAAAAAACTATTTAAAAAATCCACGCCTTGTATAGAGCCTTGAAAAAATTATTTAAAAAATCCACGCCTTGTATAGAGCCTTGAAAAAATTATTTAAAAAATCCACGCCTTGTATAGAGCCTTGAAAAAATTATTTAAAAAATCCACGCCTTGTATAGAGCCTTGAAAAAATTATTTAAAAAATCCACGCCTTGTATAGAGCCTTGAAAAAATTATTTAAAAAATCCACGCCTTGTATAGAGCCTTGAAAAAATTATTTAAAAAATCCACGCCTTGTATAGAGCCTTGAAAAAATTATTTAAAAAATCCACGCCTTGTATAGAGCCTTGAAAAAATTATTTAAAAAATCCACGCCTTGTATAGAGCCTTGAAAAAATTATTTAAAAAATCCACGCCTTGTATAGAGCCTTGAAAAAATTATTTAAAAAATCCACGCCTTGTATAGAGCCTTGAAAAAATTATTTAAAAAATCCACGCCTTGTATAGAGCCTTGAAAAAATTATTTAAAAAATCCACGCCTTGAAAAAATTATTTAAAAAATCCACGCCTTGAAAAAATTATTTAAAAAATCCACGCCTTGTATAGAGCCTTGAAAAAATTATTTAAAAAAATCCACGCCTTGTATAGAGCCTTGAAAAAATTATTTAAAAAATCCACGCCTTGTATAGAGCCTTGAAAAAATTATTTAAAAAATCCACGCCTTGTATAGAGCCTTGAAAAAATTATTTAAAAAATCCACGCCTTGTATAGAGCCTTGAAAAAATTATTTAAAAAATCCACGCCTTGTATAGAGCCCTGA